GAGCATCTCATTGATAAAATCATCATTTGCAATCTCTTTTGTTTCTTCACTAGCAAATGGTTGCAACCACACATGCTGATTCATATTGCTTCTTAGAGTCATGTCAGTATCAGTAGTTGTATTTTTTATATTATTAAAATGTTGACCAAGATGTGGGTATTCTTTTACTACATCTAACCTTTGTTGCTTAGGAATCCAACGTGGTGCAATTAATTGTAAACTAAATTGTGCCTTATCAGTAATATTTAAAAGATGGTAAAAATAATGACATACAAGCCCCTTCCTTTGTTGCAAAAGGCAAGTACAACTATACGAACCATCCACAAAAAAGAAATATGAAATGGTTGATTCCATGGCTTGTGACTCTTGATATTTTCCAGATTTTCACAATCGAGGTTTGTTCTAAATGCTTCAACAGATATGTAGCACACAAAATGATTGCATCAGGCTCATTATCTATATCTTTACTTTGTGAAGATTCATAAGAAGTAAGCGACTCAATTTCTTTGATTGTAGCATGACTAGCAGTATAGTATAAAGTTTCTTTCATTTGCTCTACTAAAAAATAGGCAACATTCACTCTCAAATAGCATTTAACTAAAGATTTAATTGTGGAAAAAATGGTGGTTGTGTTTACCATAGAAGGAATACTCCTTTTCCATTCCTCAAATTTCTTTCTTTTTTGTTTCTCACTACTTCGCTCCATCAGCACTTTACCTAGGTCACACAATGATGTATTGCTATTTTCCAACACTCACTTTATACATGCATTCTGACTTTTTACAAAAGACGTAAACTGAATGCCAAGCGTAAACATCATTGTAGTGAACGCACATGCCTATCCAAACTGTCTATCATAGAGATGGTGCTTAAGGTATAACTTCGCTGCAGAAAAACTAATAAGCTGATTCCAATGATATTCAAACATACATAGTGTATCAGCATTTCGACATTGCCAAAACTTACTATAAAATTCATTAAACTGATCCTCTAACTTGCTCCGCAACATTTTTTTAATGTTTTCTTTAATGTGCCAAATACAAAAGAGATAGTGTGTTTTCTGATATTCTAAAGTTATAGCACGTTCCATTGTCAGGTCACCATCGGTTACAAAACTTGTGGCATCTATTATTCATTGCTTTCTTAGTTATTCTAAGAACCCATTGGTATGTTTCAGTTGACTCATTGCTGACAAAAGCCTGAGCAACAATACGGGACTGCATGTTATTATCCTGTATTACAAATAAAGAGAAAGGCATGTTATATCTATTAGTACCCACAGTGTTATCATGTCCTATTGCCTCATTAAATTCACACCATAATATAATTTGTTCAGAACTCATCCAAAACAAATTAATCAACGTATTGGTTTTCTCCTTCTACATAATCTCAACAAACCAATGAGAATCTTCTTGTTGTTTGGATAAGAGTTGCTCATAAAACCTTGATGCGTTATTTTTCATAACACTATATAATGGGTGACATCATTGTATCTCAGTATAGAGATTCTTGGCAAATATAGGATGAGATGAAAACTTCTCTTTTAAGATGTGACGAACTATAGTTGCACCCAAACGACACTTAGTAACAAGAAATTCAATTTCTTTTCTCATTTCATCTGTGAATTGCTTATTTTTTTCAAATTGAATCACTTTGAGTAATAAATCATAGTTATGAGTGTCATCTAATGTGGTGACAATAACACAAAAACTAAAATTACTCTTTAAAGGGCGTAAAAGATTAACGTGTCATGGGCACATTATTTGGGATAAATTACTTTGCTTCTCAACATTTTTTTGTTTAAACATGCTTGAATGTTTGCAGAGAATTGTTCGTTTACGAATTTCTTTGACATTCTCTGTAGTATCTAACATCTTCACATGTCCAAGTCGTATTTTGAACCCTCTATATTCAGCAAATCGACGTATATGAAGCTTTGCCTCATCAAAATTATCAAATGAGTCACCCTCCTTCAAAGATATCACCTCAATATCCTTAGTTATGTCATTAATATTCTTAGTAAAGTGAAAGGATTCTTTAAAATACTCTGTTATATCGAAGTCATCTTCACTATGTTCCATAAATACAGTTTGTCGTTTAGCTGTGTATCTATGAAAATTTTTAGTTTAGAAAAGACACGATTTATAAGCACAAGATTAGTAATACGAAAGAACATCACAGTGAATAATGAAAACTTGACCTCATCAATTGTAGTTAATTATTTATTATTAGTGAGATTCAGCTCTGATTGGAGATATACTGATACGTATTGATACGTAATTAAAATTAGTGCTGCAAAAGAAAACTGATCAGGGCTGAATCTCGCTAATAATAAATAATTAACTACAATTGATGAGGTCAGGCTTTCCCTTGGCATCACTCATTTGAAATCCGGACAAACGAAATCTCAAGAAGTATAACCCCAACAGATTACTAAAACAGTCTGGTTTATGACCCTTCAAAAATTAGCGTCAAACCCATAATACATGTATTCTCATCTTAAATGTTCTAAAAAGTTGCTATAGCAGCTGTTAGTCGAAGTCTTGGAGTAGTTACGCATAAGTTTTTGCTAGTTATTGGCTTAAGCTATTAGTTATGATATAAGGTTGTTTTGGTCGTAAAACTATTATCTTGTTATAAAATTGAGATATAGTACATGTTTACTTAACTGTATGTCTACTAGTAATGCCATAGAATCGTCCCAAAGCCTTAATTACAGTAGTTACACATAAGTATAACATTATTGGAACGATTCTATGACATCTCAAATGTTTACTATATTAGATATATACATACATTAGATCCAACGCATGCATAACAGTTAATAAAATATTTACAATTATGTGTAACCTACCTGAAGGGGTGCACCATGGTGCATAGATGCACCAAATTATAATTTTCTTTTAAATTTGTCTATTTTTAGTTTATAAATAAAAAATATTTTTTTTCTTATAATATAAAATTAAATACTGCTATAATATAATCCTTATTTTCAAATATTATTAAATAAAATT